ACAATAAAAACTACTGAATTAAAAAAAATAAGAACTTTCTGTACATATAGAAAAACCAGAAAAAAAAATCAAAATGATAAGATTTTTTGTTTGTTTTGCTGCGAACAACGCATTGTTATTATCCCACATATAATTTTGTTTGCGAATGTTCTCACATATAACTTAGACAATCTTGATGAAACTTCACAGAACTGATAATCACCAAGTTTAGTTGCGTATTCAACATTTATAACTTTCAAAATGGCGACCGTTTTCATGGAAATAGACAAAATATGATTTTTTTTAAAAATAATTTTTCTAAGAAACTGCTTGGGCAATCTTAAAATTATAAAGGATTATTCCTTGCATGAAGACAAACTGATTTCTACCCAAAATCTTCATATTTATTTTTTCAAAAATTCAAAAAAATTTCACAGATTCAAGAAGACATTATCAGTAAGTGAGGGTATCGTATCACATAAAAATTAAATTTGACCGTCTAAATTTAGTAACAATGTCAGGACAATTAAGGTCATGTTTTTCCTCGACATAACGAATTATTTACATTTGCAAATATTTTTCTTAGATGAACCTATTGAAAAGAAAATATATTCAATTCTGTATGAACTTATTAGGGGGTCAGAGGTCATGGCGTGACCGAATAACACAGGGAGATGATATCTTGTCTACATATTTCTTCCACGGTGACACTGGTTTCGGAACTTCTAAGCCGTTAAAGCGATGAAAAAGATGAAATTATTGAAACATATATGTTTTTTTCGTTCAACAAATGATCATTAGTTCTTTCTTCGGTGTGAAGAATGTGTTTAATTAGCCTAAAATCACGCTTACCTTTTTAACCCGAAATTCCTTTGAAGGTATGTAAACTGAAGACGATACCACCGCTTTTGACTTCATATATTTAGAACTCATACAATAAAAGTAAGATTAATCTCAGTAGCGATCATGTTTTGTTTCATTATGAACAGATATTTCCTGAACTGGACTGCTGAACATCAATGTAAGTATTCAAATCTTGGAGCGAGGCGAACTCTCACGACCAAACAGCTTCTAGGTCATTGCGCGTCACAACATAGCAATACGGCGGGCCGTTCGTGTAATAAATGCAGTTCTTTTCAGAATTTTCGTCTCAAATGTAAATAAAAGTAATAAACAACAATGTTAAAAAGTTCACTGGGAAATGAACTTGGTTGGTACGTGATCAAATCTTCTGAGAAGCCCTTCGGGCTTCACAGGATTTGATCACGTGACCAACCAAGTTCATTTCCCAGAGAACTTTTTAACGTTGTTGTTTATTTCTTAAATATTTTTGTGTTACCTACTTGTACTTTTAAATTGAGGGAAGCTATAATGAGCCGTCAACTTCACAATAGAGAATACTTTTATATATGATAGGTTCTTGTTTTACATGAAAAGATAGTATCACATAAGATCTGTCAGGTTACAATACCAAACCGAGATAAATATTTATAATTCAACTAATTCTCTCGAATTTTTTCCTATTGTCTTCATTTTCTATGGATTATTAGTTTTTTTCTATACCTCTTGAATTTTTTCGTATTTCCACAAATGGTGAGGAAGTCATCTACATACATTAAATGAAACAAAACTTAAAATATCGATTTATTAAAAATAAGATAGAAAAATACAAGTTTTTACTGATTTTTTTTTATCACTCAAAACGTTTTATAGAGTAAAAGCTAAAAAATGCAAACAATATTGTAGTTTGTTTGGAAATTCATTTTTATTTGATATATTATAAAACTAAAGTTCTTAATTAAAATTGTAATAATTATTGTAATTAAAGAATAATTAAAGATAGTTTAAATATATGAACTTAATTCATTATTCTGAAGTAAGTTTGAAGAAGACAAAATAGGTGATATTTTCCTACGCCGCTGTTCCTCTAAAAATATAGTCCTTACTTGATTTCAAACACTGTGCAGTATTTCCATTTCAAGTTGTATAGTTTAAGACGGAAAGAAAAACATGGTCTTTTAAAATCGTAACATCTCATTATAAGGGACATTTAAGTAAAAATACTTTGAATATTTTCCCATATTGTCAGAAACCCGACAAGAATCCTTCCTTAGAGTTTCCAAAATGGCTGTTGTTGCTATGGAAACAAAAAGGTACACTTCTGAAAGTTTGATTTTTGACTAAATTTTGAATTAATAATTGCTCAATTTGTTTTTATCTCCATTATAGCACCGATGGAGTCAATTGCAGGTGACAATAATAGCAAAGATTTTTTTTTTTTTTTTATCTTCGAATGACAATTGGTCCCTGTTTTATTCTTTTTATATTCTATATGAATGCCATTTAGGATGATTAGATGTAGGTACAAATATTGAAAGGAAGATCGATTTACTTTGATATAATGAGATATTATCATCATTGCCTTGAAAGGAAGACTTTTTAAAACCATGTTGTTCTCTATTAATGTGGGGGTTTTTTGTTGATAAAATTGAAAACAATATCTTTAAACTCCACAATTAACCTTTTTTCATTATTTAAAACATATTTTGATAGTTCTGTTATCTCTCCATCTTGTATAATACAGTTTTATCTGGCATCCTCTACTACATGCACAGAATCCTTGACATCATGTACCTCCAAAAGCTACTGGCCGTGAACATCCTGTTTATGTACGACCTTGGAATAAAACATAAGTAAAATGTACACCTGGCATAAAAGTGCAAACCTAATAGAATACCTGTCTGCTAAGTCGCTATTATCACAATAATTTATCTGAATTCACCGGAAAAATCAAGGATGAATAACTGTGTTCTTTTAATTGATTTCCCTGGAGGAAATATATCTATGCTGACATATGATTCTATATTCTTTATACTTTGATATCTATGCTGACACTCCTGCACTCGTTATCCTTTGATACCTATGCTGACATTTTCTTACTCGTTATACTTTGATATCTATGCTGATATTTCCATACTCGTTATAATTTGATATCTATGCTGACATTTCCGTACTCGTTAAACATTGATATATATGTTGACATTTCCGTACTCTTTATACTTTGATATCTATGCTAACATTTTCGTACTCGCTATACTTTGATATCTATGCTAACATTTTCGTACTCGTTATACTTTGATATCTCTGCAGGCACTCCTGTATTCATAATACTTTAATATCTATGCTATCATCTTCGTACTCGTTATAATTTGATATCTACGCTGACACTCCTGTACTCGCTATACTTTGATATCTACGCTGACACTCCTGTACTCGCTATACTTTGATATCTATGCTAACATTTTCGTACTCGCTATACTTTGATATCTATGCTAACATTTTCGTACTCGTTATACTTTGATATCTCTGCAGGCACTCCTGTATTCATAATACTTTAATATATATGCTATCATCTTCGTACTCGTTATACTTTGATATCCACGCTGACACTCCTGTACTCGCTATACTTTGATATCTACGCTGACACTCCTGTACTCGCTATACTTTGATATCTACGCTGACACTCCTGTACTCGCTATACTTTGATATCTACGCTGACACTCCTGTACTCGCTATACTCTGATATCTACGCTGACACTCCTGTACTCGCTATACTCTGATATCTACGCTGACACTCCTGTACTCGCTATACTTTGATATCTACGCTGACACTCCTGTACTCGCTATACTTTGATATCTACGCTGACACTCCTGTACTCGCTATACTTTGATATCTACGCTGACACTCCTGTACTCGCTATACTCTGATATCTATGCTAACATTTTCGTACTCGTTATACTTTGATATCTCTGCAGGCACTCCTGTATTCATAATACTTTAATATCTATGCTATCATCTTCGTACTCGTTATAATTTGATATCTACGCTGACACTCCTGTACTCGCTATACTTTGATATCTATGCTGACATTTCCGTCCTCGTTATACTTTGATAAGGCACCCGGAATTGCTTATTAACGTTTATTATTGTATCATTGAACATTTGGTTGATCACTGTAGATTTTGTTCTCTGTGATTATTTATGTAGTCTTTAAGGTCTGTCTTATAATCTTAGCTGACGCGAGCCTCTAATCACCTTCTTGTATGGATTTTTTTTTTTTGCAATGGTCTGTTGTTTTCATCGCATGTAAAACATGTATTAAACAAATGCGTCAAACCCTCCAAGGACATATATTTCTTTTAGAGTAATTTTAGCCTTATGTAATTTCTTGTATGCATGCACATCTATCCTGAACGTAATTTCACATTTTTGAAGTGCTTTGTATTTCAAAATCGGGGATTAAAAATTTAAGCCATCTACTTGCTGACGATAGATATATATATTATATGGAAAGGAAATGATGAGGACCGTAAAATACTCCGTCTGAACATTTTTACTGAAAAAGAAGTACTGAAATCTACATATGACTTTTAAATTCGAAAACCTCACAATCGATCAATCTTTCCTAAAAATAATTTCCCGAAAAACTTATGAACGAATGATTTTTGTTCCTGGTGAAAGAGAAGGGCTAAATTAAGTGAAAACAAAAAATATTGAGTATGTACTGATGTTTAATATATCATGTAATACTAGTACATGCATCACAAAGTTCAGGCCGGTAGAACGCGGCGGGCCGGGGGACTGCTCCTCAGATTTTTTGGGAGGATGGTCCCCACTTTTGAAACCTTTGCTGCGGGCCTGAAGTTAACGTACTGTAAAATCCCTTAAATGTATTAAATACTTAAATAATATTTACAGAAAATAAAGAAATATGTATGCCAACAGAGTATTTCAGCAACTAGACTTAAATCTTGTTCCCGGTACTTAATTTACACAATGGCCGCATTGGTTGTCTTGTTTGTTTATAAACCGTTACGGTATTAATACATTTTAGAAGTAATGATATTAAATTTGCTTCTTTTTGATCAACAAATTGCTTCTATTGAACGTGGTCCAATCACAGCACTGTTACTATTCCTACTGTTTACATGTTTACAGACTTTTGTTTTTACCTTGACAGGTACCTAGCCATCATTCACCCATTGCGGCCCCGCCTGACAGTGCGCGTGGTTTTGGCGATTGCTGTGATTTGGCTGGTTTCCATAGTCCTGGCCATTCCTAATCTTATATATGGCAAGACCTTTGTGTTCCAAGGCAGGGCCGTCTGTTTATTGACTTGGCCGGACTTTACATTGGATAGTCCCTCCATGTTAGACTTCGGGTGCGTTCACGTTAATGTTTATCTTGATTTAGATAGAACCATGTTCCTCCTTGTTAAAGGCCCTTGTGGCATCACCCACTTGTAACATCTGTATCACCCACTTATACCACCTCTATCACCCACTTATACCACCTGTATCATCCACTTCTACCACCTGTATCATCCACTTATACCGTCCGTATCATCCACTAATACCACCCGTATCATCCACTTGTAACACCTGTATCATCCACTTATACCACCTGTTTCATCCACTTATACAACCTGTATCATCCACTTGTACCACCTGTATCATCCACTTCTACCACCTATATCATCCACTTATACCACCTGTATCATCCACTTATACCACCTGCATCATCCACTTGTACCACCTGTATCATCCACTTGTGCCACCTGTATCATCCACTTGTACCCCCTGTATCATCCACTTGTGCCACCTGCATCACCAACTTGTACCACCTGTAACATTAACTTGTGCCCCCTGTATCATCCACTTGTACCCCCTGTATCATCCACTTGTACCACCTGTATCACCCACTTGTACCACCTGTATCATCCACTTGTGCCACCTGTATCATCCACTTGTGCCAGGTGTATCATCCACTTGTATCCCTGTATCATCCACTTGTACCACCTGTATCATCCACTTGTGCCCCCTGTATCATCCACTTGTGCCACCTGTATCACCCACTTGTACCACCTGTATCATCCACTTGTTCAACCTGTATCATCTACTTGTACAGGTTTTATTCTCTAACCCAGCGACTTAAAAGCGATTGTCGTTATCAATCTGTTAACAATAAACAGTAAGAACCGTTTGTTTGAAATATTCCTTAACAGTGGGCTCTTCCATCAATATAACGTACGGATCCATAATACATTTTAGGTACTTTCACCCTGTTTATACGAATGATTTATACAGATATAACTATAAACAATAAAATATCTTTCCTTCTTTGTTAAAGCGGGCATAACGGTTGCAATCGTAGCAGAAAAAAATTACATTTTAAATTTTATGGATTTTTGCAATGTTGCAACCTTTGTCCCCGAATAATTAATCAAAGAAGAAAGCATTTCGTTGCTTTAATTTTATGATCCACTTGTGTGTTCATGTTACCATTAGATGTTTTTAATACTTTAAAAGACTTTTCGTAAAGGTGAGACATGCTACATACATATAGTAAGAGACACTTCGTCTCAGTGTGCTGCGGAGTAGGACCAATAATTAAGTTAATAAGGTGTTGCGTCAGCAACAACAGAAATTCCATGATTTGGTTAAAATGTTCCAGTATACCTCATTTTTATAGCTTTTTCGAATTTCATTCATTAACCTTCAAAAACCAACCCATGATATGGAAGGCATATCTTGTTTTCAAAAGAAACTCAATCCTCACTTATAGCGTCAAATACGCATGATTTGCAAATATAAAAAATATTTTTGTACCAGACTAGCAATTATATCTCAACCCAATTTCAATTTTGTACGCGCTGTCTATAGATTGAACATTTTTTTATATATATAATTTGTGTGGTTTAATACTTGCTTGAATATGGAAATATTCCTAACCATAAACAAAGGTGTATTCTTATTGCTCACTAATAGTCCATCATAACAAACACTGATTTCATCCTAGCCACCATCCTATTGTTACGTGTATGTATATAACATTTTGGGAATTACTATATTCATATGTAAATTATTGCACAAGCATGGACAATTTGCCAACATAAAAATCCTATGAAATCAATTACAAAACATAATCTACATTAAATGTTTTAGTCACTCCTTTCTTACTCGTCATGAATATTCATTGATAATCGAAGAAAATGTAAAATTGTTCCGCCTTAACATGAGGTTGATGCCCTGTGATTAGAACCGTCATACTTTGTTTCTGAATAATGGCCAGGGTTATTTTTTCGTGTTTAATTCTTACCATAAACATCCAGAGTAAGTATTCCTGTAATCCTACAGAGACGAGCATTGTATGGACTTTTAGCTTATAAACCTAGCTTTTAGAGGCTTTACGGTCCACTAAACTGATTTCGTAATAAAAGGGAAGAACAAAAAAGGGCATTTAAAAATTGTTCATCGTTAAACTGCTATAAAATAACATTTATTTCATTTTATCTTTCAATAATTCAATTCGATGACAAGTTCGAAGAAAAATAACCAAGAAAAGAGAAAATGTATATAAAACTGTATTTTTCAACTTGCTCATTAATTTTATTGATTCCCTGAAATTCATGTCACAAAGAAAAAAAATCGCGTATACCGTATTTTTGAAGAAAAAAAATTCTATTAATATTCAAATAGCGTGGTATGATTTAGGCTAAATTTTTGAGCAACTGGAAGCATTCAGACTTAGGGTCCACAGCTTTTTGACAAAATCAAGGTATTTCTATGCGAACATAATTTGTATGAAAACTTTATTTCAGCACCTTAAAGAACAGTCTCTTATGGACTCTTCCATCTGATATTTGACGATAGTAATAAATTTTGACATGTATATTGAAAGAAAGTATCATTAAACGTTACAGAATTATTACAATAATTTAACAGTTTCTATTTATTTTATGTATTAGACGTTCTTCACTGAAAAAGACAGTTTTTTTGAAAACGATAAAATTTCTAGTTTATGACGATTCATTCTCTTCATTTCCATCAAACTGAATGTCATAAAACAACTGACATTTACAAAATCGGTTGTTTGAAGATGTAATCGATGATTTTGCGAAGTCATAAAATAGTTGATAACATTTGAAAAGCTATTTATATACATTGATACGATTTAATACACTTAGGTATTGCACGAAATACAAAAATAACCTATTAAACAGAAAAGTACGTCGTTTGCCTAGCTCTTCTTTTGATGTTTTCACGTTGAAAGATAGTTTCATTATGATTATTTTTTCCCAGAAATCTTTTCGGTGGCTGCCAAAATGCAAAATAATATTGAAATCGGGCATTAATTTCTACAAAGTATCAAATGCGAACTGTTATTTGTACTATATAATGATATCTACAACAAAATGTTATAGATGCCGATATTTGATATCTCAACCTTTGATCGATGTAAAATGCCAGAGTTTTCTCAAAGATATGTTTAAATGAATGCACTCGGTTCACCTCGACCTATTCGTAACTCATCTCGCGAAGTTTACCGAGATGTAAAAATGGAATCATTACTCTCAAATCTTCCGAAAAAAGTATAAAATGTATATTGATATTTGTATCAATAGCGAGGATTAGTTGATAATGCTAAAAGATAATCCTAATTACATTGCTTAGTTCAGAAACATGGAGAATATGGTTTGGCGTTTCTCTGGGGAATTCTGTTAAGAACTAATGACGAGGAGAGCCTTCCTCTATGTAATACGTTAACGCATACATGTTTAATAATAGATTTCAGAATAAAGAGCAATATACATATTTCTATTTTTTTTATTCAGTTCTTCCAAGTTGAAAATTTTGTAAGTGCAGCTACTTAAGGTGTAATATTCTAAAAATCATAAATGTAAGTAATATAATGGTAAGGGCTTCGTATCCAGTATTGACCCTTTCACGGATCTTCTTAATTCTCTGTTAAGGAAGCCGTCTCCTCGTTAGAACCATTATCATCTCCCTTATTCTATAGCGTCCCTTCATCCCAAAATCACGCCTCATTTTTGCTATCACTTTTCCATTTTGTACTTGATACTTGGTTAATGGCTTTATAATAACAGAGATAAGAAGCAAAGTTCTAAAGCATGCTTTCCGTGGATTTTTATGCCATACAGATCTTGGCATCTTTGTGTATGGAAGACTTTAATTATCCGTTTTTACAAAGAAGTCGTTGCATATTGTTCCTCTAGGTACGTTACCTGCTCTTCCTACTAAAAACAACAACAAACTTGTGATTTCGGATTTGAAGTAATAATTAGTTTTCTTTGAAACTGCAGAGAATTTTCTGTCAAGTCCGTCATTTATTCCTTAATAATGGAACACAACCTCTTTCTGGGATCGTAAATCATGTCTTTCCAGCGTTTCCTGGATCTAGGTTCTAATTATCCTAATTTGATAATGTAGCAGTCTTTGAAATTAAACCCTACTGAAAACTAATAGACATGCAACATTTTTTCTGCCTTATCGGCTTTGCACAGTACATATACATTTACTCAAAAATTATAGAGTTGTGTGAGAAATAATAATTATTTAAGAAAAAAGGCCTGAAAATGACTCTTGATAATGATATATATATTTGGGTGGGTCAGGCAGTTATCTTATGCCGAACCTTCAATAAATCAAAAATGATCAAGAATTAAGTTTCTCCAAGACAAGACCGTTCCACATTCTTCCTTGACCTTATACATCGCCCTTTATATGTTGTTCATGAAATACGTCCCTCCATCGTCTTTGATTTCCTGTGAATTCCAATAGGTGGACATCTTTTACTCACTAAGTATACTTAGCTTTAGTAAAGCTCTGCTTGGTTACCAATATGTGCTATTTTCCTTAGAATGTGAATATTGAGAATAAAAGATCGAATAAGAACATAAAAAGACGCAATACTGGGGCGGAGAAATATGTTTATAGTCACCATTCTATTTACCATTTGCGTAAACTAGTACAAAATGGATTGCTTTGCTTGCCTATAGTAGCAACATATTTTTTGTATTTTTTAAAAAGAAATATAGAACTTAAAAAAAAATTCAAGATACACAATCGGAAGGTTTATATGCAAAATTATGTTTTAATTCTCTCTGTGCAGATTTTTTTTCACTTCGAAAAAGAGCCTAGAAAAGTGTAATATGTTCTTCTGGGGAAAAATTGTTAATTGGGACATTTGGCTTTGATGCTGTCTTTATTTAGGTTAATGGGGGATCTTGCTTGACTAGGGGTACAGCTAGATAGATATAAAAACCGATATCAATTGTATTCACTACTTTATATGCTCGCGTTTGTTTTTTTTTTAATTTGAAAAATTATGTTCTGAACTTCATGTTAAAAATTATTCTGATATAACCTTTATAGCGATGGTGCTAGCGATGAGCACCATAATAAAAATGATATACTTGTAATATCAATTTTATCCAAGATCTTATTACACAAATATATACAATTAAAATTGCCTGTAAAAAGGCAATAAAACGACATTTCTGCACTGACATCTTAAAAAAGAATTCCCTAGTGACACTGTGATAAGTCCTTACTTCCAAATTTTAATTATTGTTATAAATTATGGATTTAAAAAAAGATTTTAAAAAAATAATATTTTTCACTTCATAAAAGAATGAGAGAGAGGATATAACACTATAACTCTTATACATAAAGCTTCCTTGAAAATATTTTTTGATTTGAAGATTTTCCTGGTTTTTCGATCACGTTTAACTAATCAGCTGAAGTAAAGAAATTATTGAATAGGTTTTCAAAAATAGTGAGGTCTTTGAGGGATTAGTGGTGATAGAATTGTGCTGAAGATGAAGGCTACTTTTTCTCCCTTATTTATTACCCAGCTGTTCTTGATTTAATGGAAGCCTGATATGTTAACCATTTTTACTGTTACTGTTACTGGTGTGGCTTACATTGAATATTTACAAATGACAAAAATCATTGCAATTCTTGAATATAAAAATATTCTTTGTTGATTTAGACCGACAGACAACATATAAAAATGAATGACATTACCCACAGTGAAAGATTTTAGCCTAAATTTGATCAGTAGTTGATTATTTAACTTCATTGGACTGCCGAAAGGCTAAAATGTACAGGAAAGAAGAGTTATGCATGCCAAATTGAAAAGCAGCTGAGATTTTAGAAACTGGATTTGAAATCAACCTTCCTTTTTATCATCATAAATATGGCATCTTAGTACCTACAGGCCTTGCAGATGATTTATATTTATAAATACCATTATTTTTGTAGAGATTCTATCTATATCTTTGCACTTGAGGATTCCTTTGGATACTCCGAAGCTATAATTTCATATTTTTAAAAGGTTTCCACAAAAAGTGAAAAATGAATGTTGAATTAGCATTGGCTTTCACAGTTAATTACACGACTGGGGAACGTTGGTGATTGTCAGCTATAATGCGTGTTCCTAATGAATCACAATCAAATTAACAAAAATGCTATATAATTTCAGAGTCGTGTTTTCATTAAAAACTTTACTTTTTCAGATATAATGTCCTAATTATGATAGTGACATACGTACTTCCGCTGGTGACGTTAACTGTGACGTATGCCAGAGTAGGGATGGAGCTGTGGGGCAGTAGAGCTATTGGGGAAAACACACCTGTCCAATACGAGAGGATTCGCTCCAAAAGACGTGTAAGTCACGTTGTAGTTTAGTGCGGCAAATGCTGTAGCTGAAGCAAGTCTATCCATATAGCCATGTCAATTAGCTTTAGAAATCCGTAAAAGGGCAGGCTATCAGCACTGATTTCTTAAAAGGAAACCAATGTCTGCCATTTTATGTGACCACTTTATCTGAGTATGTTTTTCAATTTTTAATGTAGGATATTTTTGGAATCAAATAAAATAGGATTTATATAGCTGCATCCGCCAACAAAAACATACATTATAGAGGGTTTGCGCCTTTTACATAGTTTTGGATTAAAAAGGATTTTATAAAAACAATAATCATATCTTAAGGTGATGACTTCCCTTGCAATATTGAGTGCTTGGTTTTTTTTGTTTAACTTATGTTGTACTGCACACCCTCTTAGAGAGCTAGTGCAATTTTATAATAACCGGAGAAAGGATAGCACGGTAAAGATTATAGATATTTAATAGATTGTTAACAAAATCCCCGGCTGAGCATGTTGACCTTCCTGTATAGTTATGTAGAAGCTGGCCTTTCCTTATGATGGATGATGACATTAGGACGGTGCATTTGAATGCCCGGAGAAGTTTTTATCATAGAGACCACAAAATCGTTACATAACTCAGAGATACTGCAGCTTAGGGACCCATACATAATTCTCAAACAAACCAAAGGCCATTATTGTACTGTTAAAGGAACTTAAGGGTGCATTGGATGGTAAATCGCTCGATAAAGATATTTTATCTGAGGGAATATCGTTACGCTGGAATTCAAGGATGCAACGAAGATAAGACAACATTGTTTATACGTTCTTTTTCAGAAAGGTTTTTGCATTAGATATGCTCGCGTTTGGATCTGATATTGTCAGTTATAAAAGTTTCCTTACGTCTCTTTGATTAAATACGATACACATCGCAAGAAACCGGCCCTCTTATCGTTTTCTTCTCAATCCTGAACATTAATGTGCTTTCTATGGATTGAAGAAAAAATATATGAAATTCCTATCAATGTCAACATTTGTTTTTAATATGGTTTTATGATGTAAACTGGAAAGATACCAAGAAGTTAAAAAAATCTTTTTTTAAATCGCCACATCGCGAATTCAAGTCTGCTTCTAATAAGTATTGAAGAATGGGATGCGTCTATAGAGAAGGGCTTTTGGATGTATTAACACGGAGCTTCCTCCTAAAGAAAAACCCTGTCAAATTATAAAAGAGACTCGAGTTTCTGTTTTTGTCTTTTCTGACGTTAAGTACTGATTGACAAATACTTGTGTTTCCGCTGATGTTTGTAACGATTGAAGAATCTGGCACCGATTCGAACAGAAAATTTGATTTTTAAGAATCTATAACGAAAACATGATAGACATAATTGCATTAAGGCACTCAATTGCGAAAAACAGTAACGTTTATGTTTGCCCATTAAGTTCTTGAAATAATGTTCAATGAGTTTAGATGGTATCTGATTTTGTCGAAGCGATCACGGTGATTTCCTATTTTACAAAAGCATGAAATCCTAAATGTAGGCAAAATGCCGCAAGGATAGCGCGACGCTGAACAGCGGGTTCGCTGTGTTCTAAACTGTTTAACTGTTACAGAAATCACTCGTTATAAGTGGAGGCCTTATCTCTCTGCTGTGATGAAACAAATTCCACGTGTGATATTTCTAATGAAATTTGTTAAAAGATTCTTATGTTTTTTGCGTTCCTTCAAAGTTAATGTGACTATGCGTCATCATTAGCAAGGCACATCTCAACAAACCAACTGTCGTTACAAATTAAGCAGGTTTCTAATGTATGTCTCTGCGATTCTTTCCAGTCGTATAATTCAATAGTAAATCTAGTTTTTAGGGGTTTCTTAATCGATATTATTCAACTTGTTCTCTTAAACCAATTTATCCTGTATACTTTTGAGATTTCAGAATTTCACGATCAGATGCATGCCGTTTATATCAGCATATGTATATATTTATTTACTTATATCTCGAGAAGGTAAGTGTTTCTATTTCAGTTTTTCCCTTAATAATTCGAAAGCACTAAATTGCTTTTGGTATGCCGAGGTCAGGATAAAGATAAATCTATAATTAAATGATGTGGAATAATTTTTGGAGATTTTGAGTAAACTACAATTTATGATATTTAAGTTAAAATAGCTAAAATGTGAGAATTCAAAATGTTATCTAATATTTCGTTCTTAATTGTTAACAATGCTCAGACCCAAGATTAGTGAGCGATTGACCCCACCACATTTTTTAATACTTCCACCCTCTTCCGCGAAATACGTTTATCAAGTTTGATTGTTTCCTTTATATATTTATTTCAGGTACTTTTATTTGCTTGTCAGTTATCCCCACTCCCTTGAAAAAAAAAAACATGTTACGTGGATATAGTTCAATTAATAACACCATTTTATTCATGGTTATTCATAGCTAGTTATAAAAATAGCAACAAAAATATCAGTCATTATCTACAAAAATTGCTCCATTATTTACCATTTTATAAAAACGTCTTTAAAATGGAATTTTGTAGTGCAAAGACTGCAGTAATAAATCATCGCACGGGCCAAACTTGAAAATGCACTCTGCTCTAGCATTCATACACTGTGGTGTTCATATTGCATTTGTAGACCGGCGTGCTGAGTGCATATTAAGACATTGGTGCTGATATTGCATTTTAATAAAGACAATAAAGCGTTTATAGACTGTCGTTCTGACATTTTTCTTTTGTAGACCATGGTGCTGATATTGTATTTGTAGACTGTACTGCTAATATAGTCTGCCGAGCTGATACTGTACGAGGGGTGATCAAAAAGTTCGCGAACTATTTGAATTACTTCCATAAAAGAAATAAAATTAGCTTTCATTGTTTATTATTTTTTAAAATAGTCCTCTCCGATTTTAATGCACATCTGCCACCGTTCTGCCCATGCGCAAATCACGTGATCTACGCGGTCACGTGACATGCCCCGTAACGTTCTGTTCACAGAAGCTAGAGATTTTTCCGAGTCTAATATTTCTTACCATGCAAGTTATTTTTTATAACAAAAACAGTCCATTTGTCAGAAATGGCCAAATCTCGGCAATAGGGTGGGTAAGGATATCCTCTCCCAGAATGAGCAAGGTGACCATCACAACCCGAGTCATCTGTCTTGGGAGCGTCGTTTTTCCAATGTGGATAAAATATGGCCGCCTTCTTTTTATCATATCTGATATGTTTAAAAGTCTAAAGTAAACGATATTTTAGGGCTTTGATAATTATATTACTGTTAAAATATTCAACTGTTTTTCTAACTGTAACTTGGCGATCTTTCGTAACAAATTGCACAACTAAAACTCATCTCTTCCCAAGCTTGCTTTCACTGACAGAACAAACATCATTTTTAACCATCTCCCTTTTTTTACTAAAACAATCAATCCACTTCTGTCAAGTCTTTTGTCTTCATAAACCTTGTACAAATTATGATATGCTGCTGCAAAGGAATTTCCAAGATATACGTTAAACTTTACAGCCCTTCGTTGCTCGAGTAGGACTTAGTCTACAATTTTTATCACGTCACCTACATATTGACGTCATTTTCACATTGTGACGTCACAAACATGGAGCAAAACATTACATATCATCTGCTATTTATAGAACGTGTGTATTACTATATGTGTGCCAAATTTCATTCTGATCTGAATTGTGGTTTTGTAAATATAGAGATAGTTCGCGAACTTTTTGATCACCCTTCGTATCTGTAGACTACCGTTCTGATTAAGCATTTGTAGACTGTCTTGTTGATATTCTGTAGACTCTTGTGCTGAATTAGTTGCATTTATAGAATGTCGTGCTGATAGTCTGCTAGCATGTCTGTAGAAGTGGTAATGATATAATGTTTGTAGATTGCCATAATGTTTGTAGACTGCCTTGCTACGTGCTGATATAGGGTTTATATACTGTGGTGCTCATATTGCATTTGTAGGCTATCGTTCTGATATATTACGTTTGTGGACATATGTGATAATGTAGCGTTTTTTTGTATTTAAATTACATTTATAGTTTGTCGTGCTTATATTGCTTTTATAGACCGTGATACTGATAAAGTTTTTTAGGCCTTGCTGATATAACGTTTATAGATTGTCTTGCTGATATTTATAGACTGTGATGCTCATATTGCATTTGTAGATTGTCGCGCAGATATTGTGTTTATAGACTGAAATGCTGAATTGAAACTTTGTGACATTGTTTGTAGACTATCACAAGCTCCCTCAAGGATAGAGAATCAATGTGAATCACCCGTGGGTTACCAACGATGACTGTGCGGCTGATAATGCGTTTATAGACTTTGTGCTGATAGTGCGTATTAGTAGGTGGTGCTTGTAGACAAGCGTATTGATATTTCGTTTTTTTTAATGGATATATCGCTTTTTATAAAATGATAAAAAAATGGAGCAATTTTTGTAGACAATGACTGATATTCTTTTGCTATTCTGATAACTAGCTATGATTAACCATGAATAAAGTGGTGTTATTAATTGAACTATTCTCTAACAGTAGATAATAGTGGTGTTTATCGTTTCGATTTGATTACATCAGTAGATAAAGATGATTGTGACGGCAATGATTTATCTTTTTAAATAAAAATATTTTTTAATAATATATTTTAATGGTGACTCAGTTGTGCTGATGGATGATAAGTGGTAAAGGTGACCGTTAATCTGACACGTCATTTGTATTATAACAGGCGGTAAAAATGATGATTGTGGTAGTTGATCTGTTAGATCGCTTTATTACAGGCGGTAAAATTGATGATTGTGGTGGACGATCTCTTAGTTCGCTTTATTTACAGGCGATAAAAATGATGATTGTGGTAAATGATCTGTAAGGTCGCTTTATTAAAGCGGTAAAAATGATGATTGTGGTAGATGTTCTGTCAGGTCGCTTTATTACAGGCGGTAAAAATGATGATTGTGGTAGATGATCTGCCAGGTCGCTTTATTACAGGCGGTAAAAATGATGATTGTGGTAGATGATCTGCCAGGTCGCTTTATTACAGGCGGTAAAAATGATGATTGTGATGGTAGTTCATCTGATAGATTGCTTTATTACAGTTTGTGAAAAAGATGATTGTGGTGATAGATAATCTGATAATCGACTAGTTTTATCACAGGTGGTAAACATGATGATTGTAATAATGTAAATCTAATACATCACTTGCTTTATAAAGATGATAAAGATGATGAAAATCATGCAGTCATTTGTTATATTATATGTTGTAAAAATGGTGATCGTGGTGATGTGAATCTGAAACGTCACTTGTTTTATTACAGATGGTAAAATTGATGCATGATGATGAAATTTAAAATGTCAGTTGTTTTATTACAGGTGGTAAAATGATGATCTTGGTGAAAATGTGAATCTGGTCTGACTCTTTTTTTATTACAGGTGGTATACACAATTATGGTGGTGAAGATGTGAATGTTATATGACACCTTTTTTTACAGGTAGTAAAAATGATGATCGTTATGATTGTGTGAATCTGATATTTCACTTTTTTATTACAAGGATAAAAAATAATGATTGTGGCGATTATGTGAGACTGTATTTCACATGACTGAGTTATTACAGGTGGTAAACGAGGATTTTGGTGGTGGATAATACATGTATATGATATTCCATTTCATTTATTACAGATGGTAAAACTGATAATTGTAGGGATTATGTGAGACTGGCATTTCACTTGATTAATTACAGGTGGTAAAACTGATGATTTTGGTGTTGGATATTATATTACATTTCATTTTTTACAGATGGTAAAACTGATGATTTTTGTGATGGATAATCTGATATTCCATTTGATTTACTACAGGTGGTAAAAATGATGATTTTGGTGTTGGATAATCTGATATTCCATTTTATTTATTACAGATGGTAAAACTGATGATTGTGGTGATGGATAATCTGATATTTCATTTGATTTATTACAGATAGTAAAACTGATGATTGTGGTGATGGATAATCTGATATTTCATTTCATTTACTACAGGCGGTAAAAATGATAACTGTAATGATTGATAATCTGATATTTCATTTTTATTTATTACAGGTGGTAAAACTGATGATTGTGGTGATGGATAATCTGATATTTCATATTTATTTATTACAGGTGGTAAAAATGATGATTGTGGTGGTAGTGACATTTGCTGTTTGTTGGTTACCCTACCATGTGTATTTTCTCCTCCAGTCCACAACAGACATCACCAACTGGGAGCACATACAAAACGTATATAATGTGATTTACTGGCATTTCACTTGATTAATTACAGGTGGTAAAACTGATGATTTTGGTGTTGGATATTATATTACATTTCATTTTTTACAGATGGTAAAACTGATGATTTTTGTGATGGATAATCTGATATTCCATTTGATTTACTACAGGTTGTAAAAATGATGATTTTGGTGTTGGATAATCTGATATTCCATTTTATTTATTACAGATGGTAAAACTGATGATTGTGGTGATGGATAATCTGATATTTCATTTGATTTATTACAGGTGGTAAAACTGATGATTGTGGTGATGGATAATCTGATATTTCATTTCATTTACTACAGGCGGTAAAAATGATAACTGTAATGATTGATAATCTGATATTTCATTTTTATTTATTACAGGTGGTAAAACTGATGATTGTGGTGATGGATAATCTGATATTTCATATTTATTTATTACAGGTGGTAAAAATGATGATTGTGGTGGTAGTGACATTTGCTGTTTGTTGGTTACCCTACCATGTGTATTTTCTCCTCCAGTCCACAACAGACATCACCAACTGGGAGCACATACAAAACGTATATAATGTGATTTACTGGCTCGCTATGAGTAACTCCATGTATAACCCTATTATATACTGCTGGATGAATTCTAGGTGAGATCAAGTCACTAGTAATACACCCTTTTTTACATTTCAATTTTAATTCCCAATAGGCGCTTTATTTATAAGCACTTATTGTATATGTTGACTCTGTAAAGGGTTTCATTTATTAGCCTCCAAATATTATCAGCAGCGGTGCTGACATTACACTCTGTATGATATTAACACTCTATAATTTTCCATTTTCAGGTTCAGACATGGTTTTGTCAAATTATTTTGCTGCTGTCCATGTGGATCATGCGCCAAGTTTAAGGACAGATCCAAACCTGGTATGCTTCCTGTCACATTATTAAGAAATAGCTCTAATACTTACGCATTGGCAGAAAAACACCACGGAAATGGGTGTACCATTTACACTACCACTGAGTCGGTAGATGACGCCAGTTCGTCACCTGTCATTCACAAGAAGGGGCGGAGACATAGTGCTGAATATTTATGAGCATGGTTAAACAATGTTCACCAGATCTATTTATTTATTGTTTGTTCTGTGTACAGGACTATACATGTAATACAATCTTCTATCAGAATAGATTTTACATGTCATCTTTTTTGACATGGTTATAATTGAAAATAAAAATTTGACTTCTAATACTGGCAGATTTCAAGACATGGCGTTTTACGAGTTCTTGTAAGAACGATTACAATCTGGTACCATTCACAAGTTAATCCATCCCCTGCCGTAGACTCTGTGGTTTAACCATAGGTCAGTTCAAATTGTATAAAAATATTTCATTATGAGCATGTCAAAGCACATTGTATAGTTACTGCTAAAGCTGGAGCATATACGTCGCAGTGTTATTGTGAGCTTCTACAAAAACATATGTACTGCTTCGTCTTTTAGGACTACATTGTGCGGACAAAATGATTCAAAATGCTTACTTTGACCCCTGATATTCACTGTTGATTGCTTTTTGTATCTAAATGCTTTTGCACGTCTAACCCAATCATATATAGTATTGTTTAGGGCGTAACATTTCTTATCATTCCATTATTTTTTTCCTGCTTATTTGTTGACCCTTTAATGTACTTTCTTACAGCATATTAGAAGTTACTGATTGTGTACAGTGTTTTGTACATATGGTTATTCCTGTATTATATGTATGGTACTAAATTCTATCAATTGTCAACTGCTTTTAAGCATTTATGTATATTTGTTGTACGTACAAACACATATAAATTAAGATATACTTAAGTTGCCAATTGGTTTGGGGACAACGTATGTTGAAATTTCACCAAGATTAAATGTATTCATATTCAATTTTTCACTTACGTCTTGCGATAAGAATTATATAACTGTTGAATTTTATGCTTATTTTGAATCATGAATTAAATTTACGTATAAAATATGTTATTTAGATTTTGTTTGCTATTTCTTTCAGAAACAGACACGGCAATTTACGATACTCTTATTAAGAAGGACGGTGTAAAACGCGTACATTTTGGTAACATTCCATTAGCAACCTTTAATAGTAGGTGATCGCCACTAGGCGGCGCTGGACAAATGGTGGAGTATTCGTGTGCAAAGTAGTAATCCACGTCCAAATAACTGTCTTCAACTGAGCTCAAAATTGATATTATGTAACTGAGAAAACATTAGTTAAAATTAGCGAAGTCATTTGACCATTTTCAGATTTATATGTTAATACCCATCATAGCGTGTTCTCTGCATGTTAAGAGTGTTGGCATCACGATTATTGGTTTGCTAGAATGCTATAGATCTTTGTTGATTAGAGAGTGTTGTGATGGAAATGCTTATACATTATCAACAGTCACGTGGGGCCAGGCAATTACGTCATCAGTTCCCGGATTTCGTGAACGGGCATTTTTAATTTAAAAAATATCTTTTTTTTAAAAAATCTAGAACAACAGGTTTATTCAAATTGCAAAAAAATGTTTGATGTTGTAATTGAAAGTATTTCTCTCAAATGATTTGGTCTTTTTCAATTAAATAAAAACATTTTCAGAAATCAGTGAAAGACCTGTAAACTGGTTGGCCTTTTCTCTGTAGTGTAGGTCGACCTTTTGTTGCTTTCACTGCATCAAGTCTGGAATTAGTTTTAGCAGTGTAGATTGTCTTGAAATACGATCGAGTTAGGATACGATTAGAATTATGTCTTGTAATTTTTGTTTTCATATTGAATTGTACAACCATTATGAATACATTTACATGTATAAAATATTTGATTTTAGTTATAAATAAATGTTTAAATTGAAATAATAATGTAAATACTTATATGTACACAATACGCATTTCATTAGTCATCATGTTCATAAAATTTTATCAGGAATTTCATCAGGACGTCTCTGGAAACGGAAAAAAGAATGGCTGGTCCTTTGTACGATACAGATGTTAGATACAGGTAGATTTGGACGACCGCCTTCATAAACATTACTTCGCGCTGACGAATCTTTTAAATACGTTCCAGAGTTCCTAATTATATAGAAGTCACACACTTACATGTATGTACAGGGCATAAAATATTACTCACTCTAATTGTATTTCATTATGTTATCAACCAATTAAGAAACAATAAAAACGCCACATACTAGTACACTTGTACATCTACGTGTAAATACAAGTACACTTGTACATCTACGTATACATATTAGTACACTTGTACATCTACGTATAAATACTAGTACACTTGTACATCTACGTATAAATACTAGTACACTTGTACATGATGTACATCTACGTATAAATACTAGTACACTTGTACATCTACGTAACTATACATATTAGTACACTTGTACATCTACGTATGAATACTAGTACACTTGTACATGATGTACATCTACGTATACATATTAGTACACTTGTACATCTACGTATAAATACTAGTACACTTGTACATCTACGTATACATACTAGCTAGAACACTTGTACATCTACGTATAAACACTAGTACACTTGTACATCTACGTATACTCCTTTCTGGTACTACATATGATTTGAAAGACCATGAAAAGTAATATCAGCTAGAATGATCGAAGGTGTCCATGTTATTATATGAAATATACGGTGTAGTACCTAAACGGTTGCTATAGGAAAAAAATGCGTGTAAATTACTGCTATCCGAAAATTGTGCGGTTGGTACTGGAAAAAAAAATGGACGAAATGGTAAGTATTTTTCTTCGCTTGCTCAACAAAATGGTCAATAATTCAATTATTGAAGTTAAGTTGCTTAGTATTTCACCCTTAAGGAACGTAACATACCTTTTAAAAGTAACATATATCTCTAAATTTTTAAAGAATAAAAGGATTGCTGAGGTGTAGGACGAAAACTGTCGAAAGCCTAGGACACATTTACATACACATAAGAAATATATCTAATTAGCGTCGAAACGTTCAAATATTTGATAAAAATGAATCGACAGATCTGTGTGTACTTGTAAAAAGTATTCATTATTTCATAGAATTACCCATTTTAATCGGTTTCTTAAGAACAAAAGCTTTTTTATGCGGAGAAATTTATGTTACGGCTACTATTAGACAACAACACTGGTTTCTATTGGAAATGTCCAAAGTTTTCAAATTTTCTTTAAATGCTTCATTAACATCTATTATACAATAGTTTAGAAAACTATATTTGAAATGTTCATTCTATATTCTTTTTAATACTTGACTTGTTTATATTACCTAGCTTGCTTTCGATCCTTTAATGACAATTTTGTTTATTTCTATATCTATACGTATATGAAATGACTAAATATAATAGACTGTGTTGTTTGTAAATACCCTGTACATTTACTAAGTATCCTGCACACAATAAAATTGTTAGTCTTTAAATTATATGCACCTTCTATTGAATTTATTAGATTTCACCTGGGTAATTACGCCAGATTCATAAATAAAGGACCTCTCGTGGTTTTTTGGTTGGATATAAACTTTTATCCAATGAACAGTGGTAAATAGTTTCTTTAGAATGGACCTGCTCCAAACACTATTCAAAAATTGAAGGCCAGTTCATACAATATGGTCCAACACCCCCAATGTCCAAAAAATATGTACATGCATTGAAAAAGAGAGCGAAAGTAGAATTGCACGCAATTACCCCCCCCCCCATTTTTTCTATTTCCAAAAAAGACTACATACCGGCATGTCTGTTAATAATTGTAATCCTTTAAATGTACATATATATTACTTACTGGATAAAATATTAGTCTTTTTCATGTTCGAATCTACAAAAAAAAAGGAGGGGGTCCAAGCCCACTCAAAAGAGACAGAGAGAGAAATAGAAGTAAATTTAAGAACATTAACAAGCAAAAAAGTGGAAGATTTCTTTATCTAAAGCTAGAGCGTACCAATGCACTATCGTCAAAGGTTATACTGAAAATTTTCTAGATATTATTTAGGTCTAAGTATAAAAGTAGGCTTCAAAAATTAAAAAAAAAAAACCTCTAGCTTTGGAAAGGTTTTGAAGTAATGATGGAAAAACTTTTATTTACTAGTAATTTAAAATAATTTAAGTTTCCTTCGTATAGCTTTCTTTTCGATTTTGTGACGCCTTACGAAGATCGGCTATACTTGGAAGAACACAATAAATTCGAGTTAAATTGGTAAATATCAATTGCACTTGTAGACATTGTGTTTCACATGCTGTTTGGGATGTTTAAAATATATATTTTTGGCCGGTCCAGCCATAAGTTTGTTGATTTTCTCTTTCTTGATGGAAAAGAATTTATTTTTCAAATATCAGCCGGTGCATTATTTTCAGTTTATAGCCGTGCAATACCAAGATTCTGATAGCAACCGTAACTTAAGAAAATCGTGTTCTGTCCAAAAATCTCTTTCAAAATACATCTTTTCAAATAATTTTTATTATATCTATGTATTATTATAGATTGACACATCTTTACATACCAAAATGAACACAATCTTACCTATAAATGGTGAAAAGAAGCACGAAAACTTGGAGAATATTGACTTGAGAATGTGTATAGGCTTCGGAAATTTTACTATATTTAAATTTTTAGAAGGTTGTTCAAAATACATCTGGCATCATTTAAAGAAATTCCTTACTTGTTCCGTGCACAAGGATTTTTCGAAGACTTAATCGATTTGGGGTCACTTTTTGACAATTTTATCTCTTTTTCCAAGTGTCTCCAACATATTTATTTCAGCTAGCAGCCGTACAATTTTCGAATAGAAACATTGAACGCTTTTTTGTTCTCATAGCAACTGTTTAGGTACTACACCGTGAAATATCTCTACTTAAATTTAATAAGAAGAATATTTGAAAGAATAATAAAAAGTGATGTGCAAAATGAAACGTTTTTCAAGCTTAAATGATTGGCAATAAATGTGAACATTTAGATGACCTTGTAAACATCTTTCTTAACTGTGCGTTCGGAACATCTCGTTATCCTTCTTGAAAGTCCCTTGACATCCTCTTCCGTGATCTCCCTGATTTGATTTTGTCTATGTCTGAGCTGTCAATTAGAGCAAAATTATCCCAAGAATTCAATAGCCGTATGTATCGTGACATGTTTTACGTTATGTATCTCTTGATGCCATAAGAACTTCACTGTTTTATCTATGTGTGCTTCAATCGATGGGTGAAGACTAAATGTCAAACTGGGAACATAAACTTGGCTTTACATACTTTATTGTTGTTTTATATAACTTTCCGTTTGATTGGTTTCAAAGTAAGATCACGTCTCAGACAGCACACAATTGTTAATTCGAAACAGAGAAGTAGAAATTAAATAAAAAAGAATTCCAGGACAGCCGTTCTTCTTAAAATTATTAAAGAAATTATCATAACATACACTCACTCGTACAAAGAAGCAATTCCTTTTTTGTTGTTGATAATTTGATAATCTTTTATCAACATGATTTTCTGAACAATTCTGGTGTTTAAGTGTAATGTGTGCTCACCGCCATTTTGATTTGACAGAGCATTCACACCATATAGATGTACTACATTTCAAACACTCTGTCGGAGAGATCGATCCCTTATAAACTCTCTTGATTGCATTAACCTTATTAGTTAAAAAAAAACATAGGCGTCAGAACCGGGGGCACTTTTTTTTTCAAAGATAGACAAAATATAGGCATTGAAAACTGGGGCTTACCTTTTTCCGTTGGTTTAGCCCCCCCCCCCCTTTCATTTAGCCACTCCACTTTCATTTTGCTTCCGACGCCTATGTAAAATATGTAAATTTTGCTTTTTATTCCCCCTGCCATGAAATGGTCGGAGCATATAGTGCTACCCTGTTCCGTCATCATTCACTTTCCGTTCAATATCTCTGCAACAGTTGCACACATTCAACTCAAATTTGACATAGGATATGTCATAGGAATACGCAGGTCAAGTTAGAATTTGGTCGTGGTCCAATGATTTTTGACAGAGTTATCCCTCTTGAACTTAGAAAAAAATAAGAAATTTTCAGTTTCCGCTCTCTAATATTTGTAGGGATGTATATATAAGGTTGAAATTGCATACGTAGGTTTTTTAACTAAAAAATACAGGTCATGTTTGAATTTGGTCATGGTCCGATGATTTTTGTCAGAGATATCCCTCTTGAACTTAGAAAAAATAAGAAATTTTCAGTTTCCGCTCTTAAACTTTTGTAGGGATGTACATGTATGTATAAGGTTAACATTACATGTGCAGGTATTTTACCAGAAAATACAGGTCAAGTTCGAATTTGGTCATGGTCCGATGATTTTTGACAGTTATCCCTCTTAAACTAAAAATAAGAATTTTTCAGTTTCCGCTCTCTAACTTTTGTATAAGGTTGAAATTGCATATGCAGGTATTTTACCAGAAAATACAGGTCAATTCGAATACAAATCTAAAACTAAGTATAGCATTTGAAATTGTGGCTGCCTGCGGGGGCATTTGTGGCGTTGCGACACATCTAGTTATTTTATTTTTGTTCCTCTTACACCTATCAGTTTTAGCCTAAATTATAAAATGCTGTCCAGCTTTTATTCTTTTTATTCCGGCACAAAGAAAGGGTCGAGAGGTTTCTTGAAATAACCAGAATATATTAAGGAAAGCTAGGGCTCTTAAGTATTGAATTTCAAACATTTTTAATCAAATTAAATAAAATATATATATATATATAACCGTGTTGCTTTAAGCTAGGGAACTCTACGCTCAATAAACTACAGATGTGAGAACAGAAGGGTTATTCAGGAATGTAATAATATAATTAATTTCTTGTGGTTGATCTGACAAAGGTATTGGCTAGACAATTATTTTAAAACTCAGCAGAAGTGAAAG